CTCCTCATTTTAGGAGTTACCCTTGCTTTTCTCCTCCTCTTCATCTTAAGATCAAATTTTTCATCATCTTCTGATCAAAGTACTTCACAAACTGTAAGAAGTAGAGATTCGGATTGTTCATCATCTTGCACGAAACTCCCATCTTCGCTATCTCATGCCCTCGTTCACTACACAACCTCAAGCATCACACCACAACAAACACAAAAGGAAATCTCAGTTAGTGCCAAAGTCCTACAACAAAAGTCCCCTTGTAACTTCCTAGTTTTCGGCCTAGGCCATGACAGTCTAATGTGGAGCGCGTTAAACTATGGAGGCCGGACTGTTTTCCTAGAAGAAGACGAGTCATGGATTCAACAAATCAAACGTAGATTTCCTATGTTAGACTCTTATCATGTTGTCTATGATAGTAAGGTTAATCAGGCAGATACTTTGATGGAAATGGCTAAGGGAGAAGAGTGTACTTCAATAGGTGATGCTAGGCATTCAATGTGTCAACTTGCATTGAAGGGTTTACCTAAGGAAGTGTATGAAACTAAGTGGGATGTGATCATGGTGGATGCACCTACCGGGTACTACGATGAGGCTCCCGGAAGGATGACCGCGATTTACACTGCCGGGATGATTGCTAGGAATAGGGAGGATGGTGACACTGATGTGTTTGTTCATGATGTGAATAGAGAAGTTGAGGATAAATTTTCTAAGGCATTTTTGTGTGAAGGGTATATGAAGAAGCAAGAGGGAAGGTTGAGGCATTTCAATATACCAAGTCATAGGGATGGGTCAGAGAGGCCATTTTGCCCTAATTAGTATTTTTTATTTTTTAATTTCTATTCTTTTTTTAAAAAAAATTCTTGAGTTTTACACATTATTTTTCAATTATCATAAACTTCATAAAAGGTTCATGTATGCATGTTAGATATGGAATATTCTGCTTTACAATTTTTATTATAATACGTAGTAGATGACATGAGATGGAAAACTTGAGATATGGTATCAATTTTTATTATAATACATGTAGTCATTTTGATTTTTACAAGTCTTATACTCCGTAATTGGTATGAAAAGCTATTTCTCATTGTAGACTGAGAAACCACAATCATATTCATTCTCAAACCTGATATTTCCTACTATCAAGGAAATCAATCGGTGTGGAGTATAAACACCTCTCACAGGTTAAGACATTCATTATGTATATCAACACTTGAGAATAGAGGAGAGAGGTAAGTGAATCCCCTACTCCCAAGCATATGTAGTTGGTGAGACTCGAATTTATAACCTTAAAGTTATAAAGGGAGTTTCCCGTGCACTAACTCCATCAAATTTGATTGGTACAGGTGTACAATAAACTCTCCTATCCACTTAATTAATACTTTGTATTTCATATGCAGTGCTCCATATATAATTACTTCCTCTATTGCATAGCTATTGTCTGAATTTCTATATGGTTTGTTTGTTTTTTTTTTTTTTTAGTTTGCTTCGATTTCTTATTAGTTAACATGGTCCCTACAATCTCTCTACTTTAACACCTATCAATTCATGTCTCTCGTTTAGTGCAGTCAAATTTCAAACCGAAACCGTTTAACTGCCCGAAACCGAGCGACCTAAATGAGAACCGAACCGATTAAAAACCGATTTTTTTGAAACCGAAAACCGACCCGAACCGTATTTTAGTAAACCCGAAACCGAATCGACCCGAATAATGTTAAACCGTATAAGAACCGAACCCGTTAACAAACCGAACCGAATATAAACCGAACTGAAAGAAAACCGAACCAAAAAAGAACCGAACCGTATCTAACCCGAAATCGGTTCCAACCCGAAACCGTTTAAACTGGCAAAATAAACCGCTTACACCGAACCGTTAGCAAACTGCTACCCGTTTGCACCGAACCATTTAAAAATCGAACTGATTGTAAACCGAACTGGTTATAAACCGAACCATTTATGAACCAAACCGCTTCTAAATCGAACCGTTTACAAACTTTTTTATATAATTAAATGGATTTTTTTTTACGGGGATATAATTAAATGGATTAAATATTAGAAATCTTAGAATATTGTTTTTTAAATAGCAAGCCAAATCATTCATTAAGGTTTTAAGGATAATCAGTGTTCACAAACAGGAGCAAAACAAGCAGGCTCAGGCCCTGCCTCAAACTATTAGCAACACTACTGCCTCTAGTCATGTATACATTTGAGGTGATGAAACCAAATGAACAAAAAGCTTGTAATATTAAGTACCAAGGCTTGGCTGAAGGCGTAATAAATAAAATTAATTCACAGAGACTATTAAGCATATGATTACATTGATTTTGTGAGTAATAATGAAATAAAGATGGGAGTGTGCTAGTGACATGAATATACTATTAGGCTATGTTTTAATTCAGATTCAACTATAATTTAGTAAACTTGAAATGGAACCGATATGAATAACGTTAAAGTGGTTAAACAATCGAAGAACCGAACCAGTTATAAACTGAACCGAAAAAGAACCGAACCAGTTAAAAACTGAACCGAAAAAGAACTGAACCAGTTATAAACTGAACCAAAAAAGAACCGAACTGTTTCTAACCCGAAACTGTTTCCAACCCGAAACTGTTTGAATCGGGATAAAAACCGTTTACACCGCACTGTTAACAAACCGCAACCCGTCTGCATCGAACCGTTTACTACCCGGACTGTTTACAACCCGAACCGAATTAAGACCGCTTAAGAATAAACCGAAATCGAATCGAATCGATAACTATTTAAACCGAACCAAAACCGACCCGTGAGACAATTAAACCGATTCCAAACCAACCCGATTAAATACCGAACCGATTTCAATCCGAACCGAAACCGAACTGTCAAACCGTTTTGACAGTGCTACTCTCGTTAGATTGTTATGTGGGGTCTGAAACACTTTTAAAAAACGAATGAAGTAATGGTTATATTTAAAGATAAATCTAGGACAAAGTACAAAATCCAAATTTAGTTAGTCCAATCCTCTAAACTTATTTCTGGGTTAAAATGAACCAAGATTTTTATTTCATATGCAGTACACAATGTACTAGAAGAAACACAGCTCCAGTCTACATTTGTACTAGATATAACACCTCCTATGTGCTCATCATGTCACCATCTTTCTGGCTTTTTCGATGATTATCATATTATCCTTGTCACAAAAAATTTCCACCGAAATAAATAAATGTCTCAATCATAGTGAGGGAATGAGGTTTAGGTGTATCCTTCACCATATAAAATTTACAGAAAAATCGAAAACGTTCACTATAGAATTGTATATGAAGTGTTGAAGTATATATGCTCACAAGTATTAACCTTAGATTTTCATAAATTTTAAGAAATTTTGACAATTACCACCTTCTGTTATGTCCATTTTAACAATTACCACCTTCTATTTTTTTTTGAAAATTACCACCTTCTATTTTCAAAAACATCAAAAGTTACCACCTTCTTGCCTCCCAACTACCACATGACGTCATTTTGGGCTCATTCTTTCCCTTTCCTCGCTATTTCCCTCACATTTCTCATTCCTAACTCAATTCTCATCCCCCCTTTCACTTTTTTCCCCCAAACAATCAAAAACACTTCAATTCACTTCTCCAAATCAAAATTGACAAACAATTATTGGTGGTTTTGGGGGAAAAAAAGTGAAAGGGGAGATGAGAATCCACATAGGAATGAGAAATGTGAGCGAAATATGGAAGGAAGGGAAAGAATGGGCCCAAAATGACGTCACGTGGTAGTTGGGGGCAAGAAAGTGGTAACTTTTGATTTTTTGAAAATAGAAGTGGTAATTTTCAAAAATAAAAAATAGAAGGTGGTAATTGCTAAAATGGACATAACAGAAGGTGATAATTGTCAAAATTACTTTAAATTACTTCTTGCCCAACTATTATGTATCATGTATGCACTTGTAACAGAACTATATCTTGACCAACTACTAGTATTTTTACACTCGTAACAAAATTATGTGATTAAAGTATATATGTTTGGAAAAATTGCTAAAAATAATACAAGTACAACTTTCGGCCCATTTTTTTTTTATATAATTTTATAATAATACAACCTTTAGGGGTATTCATTTTAAACAAGATAAAATTGATTTTCGGTGAATTCTGATGTGGGTGAAGGGGATGGGATTTTCCACTCTTCCTCGTCCCCACCACTAAAAACTCATCCTCTACTTTCATAACCTCAAAGTTTATCGAAAATTCGATTTTATCTTGTTTAAAATGAACACCCCAAAAGGTGGTATTATTACAAAATAATTCAAATGTTGTATTATTAAAAAAAGAATTGGCCAAAAGTTGTATTATTTTTAGCAATTTTTCCAATATGTTTACACTTGTAACAAAATTATGTGATTCCATGAATACTACAAGTATTAAAATGAAAATCATTTCCTTTATACTTCGGTTAAAAAATTACTTTTCCCATCTAAGTAAGTTATATATGAAGTAGTTAGTAAGCTCCCTAAAAAAAGAAAGCAGCCTATGAGTTACACTTCGCAAGGATCAAAGCAATTACCTACTAAGGCCCTGTTTTCCTCACCTTAAAAAATAATATTAAGTAAAAATAATTTCAGTTAAGTAAAAATAAGTTCAATTCAGTAAAAATAAGTTCAGTTTAGTAAAATTCAATTTTCTTAAAGAAGAATTATAATAGAAAATCAGTAAAAAATAATTTCAGTTCAGTAAAATTAAGTTCAGTTCAGTAAAAATAATTTCAGTTCAGCAAAATTAAAGTGAATCAAACAAGGCCTAAATATTAAATTTTATCCAATAAAGGTGTAAGAAATTTAAGGATTTTGAAGATTTTTCACACCATGAATTGAAAATAATTATTCTTTTCAATTTTTCCTTTTTTTAAATGTTTTATACTTTTTATTTCAATACATAATTTTCTATTTTGAGTAGAAGTGCGAAAGGTGAAATTATTCTTTTTAATTTTTTCTTTTTTTAAATGTTTTAATTTTTTCTTTTAATAATTAATTTTAGCTTTTATTTTCTCCAATAATATTCATCAAATTGTGAAATTTCCCTTTGTCCTTTAGTAAACATCCAAGTATCTAAAAAAGAGAGCTTTTTCAAAAAAAAAAAATCTAAAAAAGAGAGAAAACTAAAAAAAAACAACACCCAAGTATCTATATACCACGTTGCTATACAAGAGTGTGTCTGGCACATTTCTAGAACTGCTTAGAATATTTGTAGCTCAGAGAAACAATGTCTGCAGTTGCTGCAACTTCCTCAATTTCACCATCTTCCTCAATTTTCACTCATGAAGGTTTGTTTGACCATTGAATCATATCTTTGTGTTTTTTGAATAAAATTAGATTGATTTTGTTTAATTTAATATATACTTGATGATTTTTGCAGGGTTTAAAGGGGGACTAAACTCTATCCGCTTCTCACCTTGGAAGCTTAAGGAAGTGGGTATTCTTAATTTTTTTTAATTTTTAAATATTTTTCTATATTTTATGTGAGATATATTTATTGATAATGGGTTTTAAGCTGCTTGATAAATTTACATGTGGGATAAAAAAAAAAAGTGTATTCTTTCATGTTTTTATTGCAATTACTAGGATTGGAAATTATGTGTAATTAACTAATTACAGATAACATCAATTTGATATTCGATAATTAGATTATAAAGATGTTTGGTAAGATTAGTTGTGAGGCCGAACAATTAAAGGGAGGATTCTCAGCTTGGAAAGTCATTTACCAAACATATGTTTTTGGTTGTATGAGGAGATTAATGACATGAATAAGCAAGAAGCCAGTTATATCTTATAAGCTGGCGAAAAGCCATATGCAATCAAGAGGCTAGTGATAGAGCTTTGAAATTTTTATGCGTTGTATATTGCTTAAGATATGAAATTTCCGGACTTTGTTTAATGGAGTGAATTAATAACGCTCTAAGCAACAGATTGATAGATCAAATTGACAAATAAAAGGCCAAGTGAATTACATTATTTCGATAAAGTGACCAACTGACCAACCATTATGAGTAACAGAAGCTAAATGTACAAAATTTCCATAAGAGGACGGAAAAGCTTATCTTTAATCATGTAAATTTCAAATGCGAGCTTGCCTTGCTAGGTGAAATTGCATTGCTAAACAGGAACACTAGTTTGTCATTATAACTCATGATGTACCTCTTCTTATCGATTATGGTGTTTGAAACTTTCAAGAGGTTAGAGTAAATTGTCATCATGAAGCTCAATCTTCTTAAAACACCAATGGTATAGAATTTGATTTTGAACCCCTCTAATTTGATTCTATTTTGTGAAGAATACTTGCATTTTTTTTCCCTGACAATTTAATGATGCAGCAGACAAGAGTAAGAAGAGCCGGTGCTGGTGTTGTTACAGCCAAATTTGACTTGAAGCCCCCACCTTATCCATTTGTAAGATTCACATTACTTGAAAGCTCTTTATATGATAATTCTTGCTTAATATTTGTCTCCCTGACGTTACTTAAGCTACTTGATGTATGAATGGAAAGCAGTGTCCTCTGAATCTCGAGTTTGCTAATCTCTTGGCACCTCTATGTTAATTTTTGATAGGATGCCTTGGAGCCGCACATGAGCAAACAGACGTTTGAGTATCACTGGGGTAAGCATCATAGAGCATACGTGGATAACTTGAACAAGCAAATAGTTGGAACAGAATTAGATGGATTGCCACTTGAAGAAGTTGTACGAATCACATATAACAAAGGAGACATGCTTCCTTCCTTTAATAATGCAGCACAGGTCTGCGTTTGTAACGTTCTTTCAATGCAGACTACCATTTTTAAGAATCTCGGTATCTTCACAGTTGCATTTTTTACTTAGGCCTGGAACCATGAGTTCTTCTGGGAGTCCATGAAGCCTGGTGGTGGGGGAAAGCCTTCTGGCGAGCTTTTGGCACAAATTGAAAAGGATTTTGGTTCCTTTGAAGCATTTACTAATGAATTCAAGACTGCTGCTGCCACACAATTTGGTTCTGGCTGGGCTTGGCTTGTTTGTGAGTACCCCATATACTAATATCTTTTGTTTCTTCACAGCATGGCCTTACCCATTTTCACCTTAATAAAGAAAAAGGGAAAAATAATAATAATCAGCTTCTGGTATTTGATGTATGCTAATCTACTAATTTCTATTTGAACGCAGACAAAGCAAATAAATTGGACGTTGGAAATGCAGTAAACCCGAGACCATCTGAAGATGACAAGAAGCTTGTGATTGTGAAGAGCCCAAATGCTGTGAACCCTCTTGTTTGGGATTATTATGTGAGTAATTTATCTTTAGGCTCATGCCTAGAAATGTTGTAGTGAGCTGATAATTATAAGAATGCTATGCTAAGAGCTTGTTTATTTGAGTCTCAATTTTGATGTATGGCATGTCTTATGTTGCAGCCACTTCTTACTATCGACGTTTGGGAGCATGCATATTACTTGGATTTCCAGGTTAGGCTAACTTTCAAAAGTCTCTGAATACTTGCAAATGCTTCCTGAAACGAAACATGTTCAGCAGGTTCCTAAAAATTGGGAACCAAAACCGGAACCTGTAGGTTCCGATTCCAAAACAGGGTACCCTGTCTTTCAAAGTAAGCTTAATAGTCACTTGATTTTCTAGAATATTTAATTCAAAATTACAAATACTTATATTAATACCATTAATTAAACCATTAAGAGTAAGATGAAAAATGAATAAGAGGAGGGAAAGAGGTAGGTGACGGCTTTTATTCAATTTTGATATAGGGCTTTTATACTTGGGCTTAAATGATAGGTTCCGGTTTCATGTATCCTATAGGGAACTTATACTAACAGGGTACCCTTCAGGTTCCGGGTCCAAAATTTTATTACCCGGCACCGGAACCTGTTGCAACAGTTTCCCATTTTTATTACCAGGAACCGGAACCTAATCTACAGGTTCCAGTTCTGAAACCTGCGGTTCCGAGCAGGTTCCGGTTCCTGGTTAGGGTACCTTGAATTTTTGCTTACCCCTACTCACAAGCCAACCCCATATTTCTCTGTTTTGCAGAATCGAAGGCCCGATTACATCTCAATTTTCATGGAAAATCTTGTTTCCTGGGATGCTGTTAATGCACGATATGAGGCTGCTAAGTCTCTTGCTACTGAGAGAGGGAAAGAAGCAGTGCAGAATTAAGAAGATTTTGGTTAGAAAGTAAGTAGTGTAACCACAGGCATCCATTTTTCATATTGATACAAATGTCTCAGCCTCAGAATTTAAGTGACCAAGTTCAGGGCACTTTTTGGACCAAGTCCTGATTATCTGAGCAATAAGACAAAGGTTATGATAGTATCTGAGCCTTGTTAGACATGTTTTTGAGTGCAAGGGGTTTAAAACTAGTATTGTGCACTTAGCGTGGTCATAATAAATTTATATGGCTACTTTCTGGCAATTTCAGTTAGATTTTGTCATGTAACTCATATATGAGGATGGGCCATATTGTCATAGATTGTGTTCTGATTTCGTTTACTTGTCTGTCTTGATAGGTGTTAATGGAATAATGGTGGTTCTGATTGTTAGCTAGACATTGGTGCAGCAGATCGAAGCTGGAGTTTAGCCTTGTAGAACCAGTCCTAGCTGTTGTAGCTGAGCTTATGTGTTTCTTCTACGGGTTGTATGAGGGTGCTTTATAGCTTGTTATACCGTTCTGATTGTAATGCCAGCAATAGTAAAAATAAAGAGCATCTCTCTGTGAAAACATGTTTCTGGAGAGGCTCTTAAACCAGATATTAAGCATTATTATCAAGAAATTTTTATTAAAGCTGTTAATTATATAAACTTTGCATGATTTCTGATAGGTGAACTAAGCCTACGGGCCTACCTCCAATAAGTTAGGCTGCCTGGCTTTAGCTTGAATCAAATTGAGGGCTTATGATGCTTAATTGGCTCAGTTACACCCTGAATGCTATTTGTCAATTGTTCAAGGAACCTTCTTATTCTTAAGAGTGAAGGGTATTCAGCAGTAATTTGAGTAGTGTCTACCTTGAATATTTTGATTTTGTATTTATTTTTTTTTTAAAAAATTGCTCCGTAGTTGAAAACTCCTCTCAGTCATTCAATACTTCAATCCAATGGTTATTTCTAAAATTATATTTTCACAATCTCCAATGCGAAGACAAAATAGTATTCTGAAACAACTCTTGGAATGAATTTTGCAAGATCCTACATAACAAATAATTCACTTCTACAAATAAACCTAGACTTGTTCTCAGTCATAGCATATACACAACAAGGGGCTCTAAGTATCTGCTAGCTTGACATCCGCAGCTACATAGTCTACATTACAAATAGCCCCCACCCAAACGACCTTAACTGTGGAGTGTTGTACCTTTAATCACCCGAAATACACAAATAATAGAAGTCAGGTACTACACATCTCTAGACATCTTTTGACAGTCAGATATATTAGACTGCAACTTTCATGCCAACCTCAAGGTGATGAAGGTTGGCTGGCTGCGCAGGCCTTCTCTGCAGAAGAATAGAAATGAGATTCAAGTTCTTTGAGACTAGCTGCTGCCTCTTCCCCAACTCTACCCAAAGTAACGTCTGTTTTATCTGTCAGCTTATTGAATTCGCCAATACGTTGTTCTACATGGTCATTGAGCGATGCAAATCCAGAAAAGATAGCAGTCTGCTTCAATTCTGACACCAACTTTAACAATGAGTCAGCTGCTTGGACCTGTTAATCAACCAAAAACATACAAGTGGTATAAAGAGAATTGACATGTATACAGAATTACAGAGACATTGTAGCTGAAAAAACATGTATACAGAGAAAGAAATTGAGTGGCAATTCAATGAGGTTAAGGGACAAGAAAAAATGGGGAAGAAAGAGACCAACTTTCTTTGCCGTGTTTCTTACAACAGAGAATTCCAGTCAAGAGAACTAGTACTTGCCTAAAAAAAGATGTGATTAGGGATCGAGGTTATTTGATATAAAGCATAATGACAATCATGGTATTAAATCTCAACCACGTTACAGCATCAGGACCCCATTGTAAAGGTTTTTGTGCTTACTGTGACTGGGTCCCTGAGATTTTAAGCTGCAAACCATCTGCATTGCCTGACATGCCTGCGAATGTGGTTCTGTGATCCCAAACCCCATCTGAGATTTAGAATCATGATGACAATAATACATATACTCCGAATATGGCAACAAATAGCATCATCCAGCAGCTATCTTTGTAACTAGTCTTTCAAATGCCTTAGGCCAAAAGTTAATGAATTATAGTAGGTGCTAGTGGTTGAGTCCCAGAGTCTCCCAGGTAAAAAATATAGATTACAAGGAGGCACAACAAGAGGTCATTCTCAAATCCCCAAAGTAGAGCGATACCTCAAACAGGAAGATTATCATGCACATTATTAAGTAGAAAAGTGCAAATTGTTAACAAAATATGGATTATGCAATAAATAGTCAGTTTTTTTTTTTTTTTTTTTTTTGTCAAATGCAAGTCAGCTTATGTTAAAGTCACGCTCTCATCAAGTTGAAGCAGCAGGAACAAGAACAAAACTGCAATTGTATAAAGAAATGCAACAAATTCGCATATAAAAATTATGCTAGGTGAATATATTGATCAACATAGAGGAGAAAAAGGCAAGTCATGACTCACTGAGGCATATAAAATGCATAAAAACCATTTTTCTCAGATAGGAATTAAGGGTTAAAGACTGCTCAGTCAGACATCATTTTTCTCACACAATCCCCTCCTTTATTTCACATAACAGAGAAAAAAATCTAGTTTTCCCCAGAACAGTAGTGCAAATTTGAATGGCAAGAAAATAACAAGGAGGACGAAGATTAATTGCTACCTTAACAATAAGTTAAACTCAGTACAAGTAAAAACTTGAGCAATCAGTTGCTGATTGCCATCATACAAGTTTATACTTCATTCTAAAATTACTGAGATGTTATTTTTAGAAAGTTTCACAAATACTCTCCTTTCATAATGTAAATATCCAACACGCCCTTACTAAATTTTCCTGAGTTCCTAACTGACTTGAGTTCCATTGGGTAATTTAAATGGTTTTGTGGTCTTCTCACCTTATACCCGCTTTCTTAACTCTTGAGCTTCCCCCCCCCCCCCAACAAAGCAAAAAAAAAAAAACCACAAGGCCCCAAATGGAACAGAAGAACTATGGGGCAAAGTATAACTTGGATAGATTTTCATTATTCCATAGCAACACCAATCTAAAGCAACATAGTCACTAATAGCCATGCAGCTTGGAAAATGCTGGCAAAATATGGAAAAATTACAAGTTCTAGACTATAATGCAACTTACAAGAGTTTAGAGTCAGACAGTAGGCTGAAGCCTTGTGCCTTAATACTGTAGAGCATATAATAAAGATAATAAGATTATGCTCTCACCATCCTGGCAGCACGCACTTCCATCATGAAAGCTTCTTGTTGATTTCTGACGGGTGGATCATTTACCTACAGGATTAAGAAATTCAGAGACTTCAACAGACACTAATAACAGTGCCTTACTCATGACATAGCTAATGACACATCATTAGCACTTCAAAAGGAAAGTGACACTTAGGCATAGCTTTCATGTTTAACCGTGAATGCTGGATGATTTTAACAAGCATGGCACTTCTATTACAAAGTGGTAAAGGTTCTAACTTATGCCTGATTAACTTTACACAGCAGGCATGATGTAAGCTAATTAAGAGAGGAAAAAAAAGGGTTATCCTATTACAAAGTGTTAAAGGTTCTAACTTATGCCACTGCAGAAGCAGTCATCCTGAAAAATGACCACAATTCATTACTAAAAAATCAGTACTGAAGCAGCAGCAGTTTGATTCATAAAGTGGTATGGGATTGGAACGTGATACTTAATACCGCGTGTTTGGTTTAGTTCGGGATTGAACATTTTTTTATATGATACCTGAAGTATGCTATGATCCATACCACCTCCCCCCCCCCCCCGGGTTTCTAAACCCTTACCTTGTGGGTTTGAGGTATGAGTTTGGAGATTGGTATTTTGTTAAACAAACACAAGGTATAGGTTTTACCTATACTAAACCCATACCCTTATACCTGAGTTACTTGAACCAAATACTCCCTCAATGGGAACCTTTATGGTTCACAAACTGGAATGCAACATAATCAAATGAAAACCCCAAAATAGGGAAGCATAGATTGAAATTTACATACTAAAGTTTCATGTGTTTAAAGCAACCTCTGAATTTTTTTATATTTAATGTTTGGTTCACACTTGAAATAAAATGTCTTAAATTAAACAAAATATTGACAGTCACCCAAATCAGGCAAACACAGCTAAGATTACTCAAGCTGAAACTAGGCATGCATATCACGAAACAAATCGACAGTATATGTTAAATAAAATCCACAACTTACTACATAAAAGGAGGTGAAGACAAACCCGGGAAACATTGACAAGAACAGTGAAATTGTCAACAAGATTGGAAACATCAGTTTCAACTCTCTGCAAAAGTGCCTTCTGCTTCTGCGTGGCTGCAGCAGCAGCGGCGGCTGTAGGTCCACCTCCGCCACCTCCTTTATTCATTCTAGGCAATAGGAAATACAAGGCACAGTCTTAGACTCTTAGGTTAGACAGAATAATTAAAAAACAAAAAAAAAACAAAACATTTCTTCGATAGCAAAACCATTGTTATGTGGCAAGGAAGTGGAAATGTTATGTCCGAAAGCAAGTGTCAACAATTCCCTAAACACATTGGCATTATATGGCAAATGTATACAGCATTCCAACTAAGAATCCAAGAGGCATAAAGTTGCATCAAAGTTCTCTCCTGTTTCTATTACTTCTTCTGTCACTTTACAATTCTCAAGTAAAAATTGAGATAATTGTGTTAATTTCCACAATTTGTAATCTAATGAACAAGAAGGGAGTAGTTGATCAATGGTAAATGTATTAATTATAACATAAATACACCAAAGACAATCCAAATACTTATATTGCTGCTCATTATCTAAGGAAAAAAGCACAATTCTTTTCGAAACACGAAATTAACAAAATCATAGAAAAGAGAGCATAAATTCTATTTTTTTCACAAACAATCACAGCAAATCCAATACTAAGTTGAAAGATGATAACATAACATTCAAATCAAGTTAAACACTCCTAAATTGTTCATTTTCATAGTTCCATTCTAACATTAAAGGGTTAAGTGATGAAAAGCCTGCAACTTTAGCAATCAAATATGAGTCAATTAACTATTCAAATTCTTTTCGCCTTAAGCAACGAGCAAACTTTCAGAATATGAGTGATTATAAGTAATAGTTGAATAATCTAAACCTAAATTGGATTACACTAACAATTAAATTTACATAAACCCTAGATTTTGAAATTGCTATTCGGTGATTTAATAAAAAGAGAAAATTTCTTACCTCAGAAACTGGTACAATGGAGGAGAGAAAGCTTAGAAGCAGCTTTCAATGGAGGAAGTGTATTGTGTTGTGATCTCACTCAACTAAAACAAGGATTGTCTTTCAAATCCTATACAGTAATTTAATTTCGGAAAATTTGGATTTTGGTACCTAATGGGGCTAATTGAATTTTGGTACCCATCTAAAATTTTATTTTAAATTGGTACCTCCAAAAACTCAAAACTGTAGCTTTCAATACCTCTATTAAGATTATGTCATAATTTCCGTTAGTGGGTCCCACTGTAACGGCTAGTGGGTTAATTCTCCCCTTTTAAATAACGACTCTGTTGATATTTTTTCCCCCTTTTGATTGTGTTTAAAATTTGGAATGAAAACAATGAAAATCTTGGAATGGATTTGAATTAAGCTTAGGCTTCTTGGTCATTGTTGAATTGCGAAGGATTTGCGAAGATTGAAGAGGGGTTTTTGAAGCACTGTTGTGGGCGAAAAAAAGAGGTCAGCTTTCAGTAATTTTGCGCACAATGTTAAATTTGAAGTTGAATTGAGCTGAATTGTGTTATAGTTGTGGTTCATATGTTATTAAATTGTGTTTTGTATAGCCAATTGTGTGTTTAATTGAATTCTGTTGTAATAATTTTATGATTTGGAAAAATTAGGGTTCTTGATTTGAATAATTTAGGGAAATGTTTTTTCTTTGAATTTAATGTTGCATGTTAGTAATTTATTTGAAATTGGGCGTTTTTCTTGCATGTTTGTTTCAATTTTATTGCAGAATGGCTGAGAATAGGGTGGTATTCAGATTTAAGTACTTGAGGGTAGTCATTGACATTGAAGTAGAAATAGGTAAAGACAACTTGATGGATAAATGCTTAGAGTGGGAAGACCGTTTGCGTGAAATGGATGATCCAGTAGAAGGATCTATAGATATCTTGTTTCCCAAATTTCAGTATATATATAAAGGGAAATTTAGGGATTTAGAAGATGATGGTGATGTCTTCAAAATGATTAGGAGGCTACCTAATAAGGACATCTACACCATTCATGTTGGCACCACTGATGATCCTGGGTTCTTGGCAGACTGTATGTGGAAGTTTAGGCAGAAACAAAATGGGAATTGGCCACCCCCTGGCTATCCTTATAATGGTGCTCAGCCACCGGTTTGACAAGGTTTGTGTGAGCTTGGTGTGGGTAACAGGTATGTCTAATGCCCCCCCCCCCCCTCTTTTTTTTTGCTACTTGCAGGAGTTAAAATGTCCTGGAATATTGAATCTCCCTCTAAACTGAAGAAGTGTAACTGTGGATTGCCACTTTCAAGGCTTACATCTTAGACTAAGGACAATCCAGGGCGCAAGTTCAAGACTTGCAAATTTTGGGATCCAAACACTGAGACAAGGGGATGCAAATGTTTCGAATGGGTTGACTCAGAACAAACTGATTGGCAAAGGGATGTGATCAACCAGTTGCTGCTTGACAAGAAGTTGGATGAAATCTGAGATGAATTCTTTGCAAAGGGAGGTTGATGATTTGGTTGGGCAAAGGAGGTGTTTTCTTAATGAAGTTGACACATTGAAGACTAAATGCAAGGCCTTGTCTAGTGACAGGAAGAAGATGACAGACAGCTATGGCACTTGTGATAGATTTTACTTGGTTGTATTAGTTGCAATTAGTGTAGTTGTTATGATTTTAGGAATTAATGTAGTAATTAAACTGAACTGATTTAGGGGAGTTTAAGGGAATCCAAGACATTTTGTTCAAGTATGGTTATGTAATGTATTTAATGTTAGTTGCTTTTGTTTTCAAGTGAACTTGGTCTCAATCAATGAAATTATCAATTTCAAACAATATTGCATTTGAAAACCTTGACTGCTTTGTGAACTGAATTACATTGACATGTTATTTATGTACATAAATGTTCATGAAAAGGTGACTTTGCAGAAAAAGTAAGTACTAGGACTAATCATATGTTCAAACTACAAAATATGGCCCTTGAAATATATGCTTCATATGTTTACTAAATTAGATTCACATGATATATATACATATATATGTTCAAGTAAAGGTGACTTAGTACAAAAAGTGACTACTAATTAAATAAGTTCAACAAACTGAATACATATTGGTAATTGTCAAAGGAACAGGTTCAACAAAGTTCATAAACAAACACTATATTTTTTTCTTGCTTGCCCTGGTTGCTGTGGTGTTTTTTGCTGTAGTAGTTGTTGATGCTTGGCTACAGAGGTATGGTTCTGCTCCTGCATACTTCCTTGACCTTGTATTAGGTCCTTCTGAAGATGCTTCTGCTCCCTGAGATGCTCTTCCTGTTCCTTCAGATGGTTCTAGTCCCCCTTTGGATGTTGCTTCCGCTCCTTGAGAGGCTACTGCTTTTGAGGATGTTTTTGCTGCAGCAGCTGCAGCTTTCTTCTTGGCCTCCTCTTGTGGGAACTTTTTATTTACAATTCTGTTAGGACCTGTTGTAGCCCCAGGAGTAGTCTGCACATATAAAGTGATGTACAACAATTAAAAACAGAACCAAATAGCTTACTGACATGAAAAAGGGAAAAATTCATAATTGACCTTGTTTAAAGCTCTGGTTGCTTTGGTTCTCCTCTGTTTTACCACCCATGCTGTGTTTACAATAGCCTTGCCCTTTGTGTTAAGATGGGATGAAGACTGTTTCACTTCTGCAGGCACATTGGAAAAAGTTTTGGCATAGTGTCCAAATTGAGCACATTTTTGGCACCTCTTTTGCCTTTTTTGTGAAGTACCCTCTGCCTCAGCTACACCCTTACCCCTTTCCTTCTTTCTCTTTTTGGACTTAGGTCTGCCAGGCATCACTCTCACAGGTGGTGGCAGTGGCTCCCTTAGCTGAATCTTTTCCCAGTGCTTGGGACTGGCATAGGTTGTACAGGCAAATCATATGCCTCTAAATATCTCTCCCTTGTGTAATAGTGATCCACATACTCTTCTGGGTCACTTCTCTTATCTAATATACAAGCAAACCCATGCACACAAGGGAGACCAGTTAATTGTCAGTGGTAGCATGTGCATGTTCTATTTTGAAGATCAATTGTCACTTGGTCTGCATTTAGATTGACCTCATAATTATCATCCCTTGAAACCTGCACTATACAGTGCCTAGCCACCCTCTCCATTATCTCAAACAGCTTGCTCACATAAGGCATCACTTTTCCTTCCATCTTTTTCACACCCTCCCACTTGTCATTGTGCCTTTTGACTGCATATCTCCTTAACCATTACATTTGGGTTAGGATTGGTTTATCCCTAGCTTCTCTAATACAAGCATTGAAGGTTTCACACATATTGTTAAGAAGCATATTAGATTTGCAATTAGTGGAAAAGGCATGCCTAGACCAATGTTGGGCAGGGATGTTGTCTAGATACTCATATGCATCCTCACTAAGGAATCTTATGGATTCCATTGCAATTTCAAAATCAGCCTACAATATTGGAATACAAATACAAATAAGTTCACTGACAGAACATGGACAACAAGCTTACACTGACAGAACATAAAACTACCATATGTCATTCATTTATACACTGACAACAAGCTTACACAAACATAAAATGAAATGCATTTATATGCATTCATTAATCTGCTAAATTTCATTAATATGCTAACTGAGTACTAAACAAACTGATTACTATACAAACTGAGTACTATATGCTAACTGAGCATATAAACACTATACAAACTGAGCACATAAACTGAAGAGAATACAATGACTGTACTTACACATATGCATGTATACTGTCACAGGATAATAAACAAGGACAACTACAAATTGGAGCTAAACCATAAAGTAACTACTTAGTACATAACCACAATTAGTAAGAGTATGATAAGTGCAGTTCATATTATTAAATTCCTTATTTTCCAACAAAAAAAAAAGAGTGCAGTTCATACCCAAGTTGTGGCTCTAGCAGCATTCCAAAACAACTCTTTAAATGTGGACCTTGTGAACTACAGTTTGAAATTGGCCCATATATGCCTCACACAAAACCTCTTCTCAGCAAAAGGGACCACCTCCTCAAATGCTTCAAGCAGTCCCTTAACACACAAAATAAACAAATAATTGTTAGTGACAAATAAAACACATACAAATTAGAACAACTAGCACAAAATAAAACTAGAATGATGCTGAACTAACCTTCTGCCTATCTGACATATAAGTGAAGCCACCTCCCATTTCTAAATCATCTAGGCTTTGCTTCAAGCATTCTAAGAACCAGGACCAGGTTTCTTTGTTCTCAACCTCCACAGTAGCCCATGCAAAGGGATAGATACTGTTATTTCCATCCTTTCCCACAACCACCAAGATCTGACCAGGGTAAGAGCCCTTCAAATGGCATCCATCCACCCCTATTAGTGGTCTACATCCTTTCAAGAAACCCCTTACCAATGGAGAAAGGCACACATACATCCTCAAGAACAAAGGTGGCTCTGGCCTATCCAACTGATCAACCACCACATTCACTACAGTCCCTGGGCTATATTTTTGCACTGCCTTCCCATAATCCCATACTCTAGAATACTGTTCAGAAGCAGACCCATAAATCATGAATTTTGCCCTTGCCCTAGCTAATCATGCCTTGTAGTCTCCAATTTTAATGCCCAAGTCACTTAAAACCTTATCCCTAAAATTGTTTATCTTCCAATTAGGATTGCTTCTCCACTCTTCAACATATTTCTCAGCTAGGTACTCTGCAGTAACATTTGCATTCATGTTGCTCCTCATACAATTATATTCCAACCTAAGATCTAGTATTTGCCAAGCACTACTCTTGAACAAAGGTCTTGCAATTACCTTATATTTGCACCTCCTAACTTCCTCACTGCACTGTCAAATAGGCAGCTTACTCCTCTTTGAATCCCATTCACAACCACATCTCTTTCTACAAAAAGTGGTTAACTTCTCTTTGTTTTTGTGCAGGAAATAGAACTCATATCTATTTTCAATGGCATGAGTTCTTAGGGCTTTCCTAAGCACCAAAGTGTTGCCGAACTTCTGATTCTTCACCAACACAACATGTTTCTTGAAATCTGTATCCTCTCTAAACCAAGGACTATCATCTACCTCCTCATCAGAACCATGCTCACTTCTGAACTCCTCATCATCACTGTCTTCTTCCTTAAGTTCTACCTCTAGCTGCCTTAGATCTTTAACAAGCTGATCCAACTTCTGCTTTTTGCCCTGACCTGAAACACCACCAGGCTGCACTGTTGCCAAACTCCTTTCCACTTCACCTAGAATCTTAGCAGTACCCTGATCCAACCCCTCATCTTCAGGATCACCCTCTTCCTCCTCTCCTAGATTCCAATTTATATCTATGTCACTCAAATCCTCACTAGAAGAATCAGAATCACTCTCCTCATCATCTATGAACAACTTCTTTTGACACTTACCCTTTCCTTTCCCCTCTAATTTGGCTCTCCTGTTTCCCAACCCAACCTCTTCAATGACCTTCCCTTTACCTTTATTAATTCCCACCCTCTTATCACTTCCTGAAGTAAACCTAGGACTCCTCCTAACTAATGGCTCACTGACTGTAGTACCAGTTTCTTTTTCTGGGTTGGACAGTTGCCACCTTGGGATCCTCCTAAGTACTAAAGAAGTACAAGGCTGTTTGGGAGTGTGTTTACCAGGGCTTTTGCTCTAACTTGGGGTTTGGTTAATTTTTTTTTTTTTTCTGTACATTGAGGTGGGTTGACTTTGGAAAGACTATCAATGGGTTTGGGTGGGTTTAATGTTGGATTTTGACTTAGGATTTCAGTCTGAATTGGATCTGTTTGGTCAGGGTTTTGCTCAGAAACAGTACAGAACAACTCCAATTACCCATCTTTGTGTTTAGCCTCAAGAAACCCCTTTAAAGCCTCATCATCCTCTAATCTCCTTTTCCCATTCATCTATGTTTGTCCCATCTCTTTGTACCATAACACATAAATGTAAGGGACAGCCCACCCCTTTTCCCTAAAGCCTTTAGCACATAACCATCTCAAGTACCCCACTGTTATAAAGGACAGAGGCACACCCAACCTCCAATACACAAAACCAGCCTCATATACTTGATACTCACTCCCCTTTCTTTTTCTTTTCTTAAACACAAAACCCCCAAAAAGTCTTATCTTATTGTCAATAGTGTTATCAAGTTGATCCTTTTGTGTAATCTACAAATTAAGTAATAAATCATGTAATCAATACCACTAACAACAATATCAACCACTGTAACAAGCATTATGTCACAACCAAGACCAATTCATGACACTAAAACACACAATACAGTAACTGCAACAACCCAAATACCCTACCACATGCTTCTATAACAAATTAACAAGGAATTATAAATCAATTTCAATTAAATTGATAATTTAATCCATACACATTAATCTAGGGTTTACTTAATTATTTTCCAAATATTCCCACACATTTCATCAAAAATTCACAACAAACCATTAATGGACCACTTCAAAAAGTTGAAGGAATCATACATGGCCATTGTCAGAAGAATCTCCTGCTTCTGTCAATGGAGATGACGAGTCCAAGCTCCAGCCTTTCTCAGTTGCTGATGTGTGGTTCCAGTCAAAAGAACTAACGATTTAGTCAATTGAAGATGGTACAGTAAAAAAAAAAAAAATACAGCCTTACAATTGACGGAGGAGAGATAAAGAAATTGTGGTTGAATTTGGACAATGGAGTAATTGCATATGGTTGAGAGCTTTGATTATGGAGGAGCAGGGGAAAGAGAGAGAGAGGGTAAAAAGAGGGAGTTTAATTAGAATCGAAGAGAGAGAAAGGAAAAAGGGAGGGAAGTTTAGTAAATGGGACCCACTAATGGAAAAGGTCACAGAATGTAGACGGAGGTACTGAAAGTTATAGTTTTGAGTTTTTGGAGGTACTAATTTAAAATAAAATTTTAGATGGGTACCAAAATTCGATTAGCCCCATTTTTGAGGTACCAAAATCCAAATTTTCCTTTAATTTTTATTCTAAAGGTTGTTTGGTTCGTTAAATTGGAATCAAAATGTCAAATTAAGGGTATGTTCACATTTATGAGCTAGACTAAAATTAAGTTAAAGCTAGGGAACATGCTCTAATATTATTTTTGTAAAGGGTAACATAATTACTTTTATTAATTATGAATAATTATTTGCAAGATTAATCTATAATAAAGAGACTAATTTCATTTGTAGACATGTCAATAGGCTTGTTCGAGTTGGGTACAGGTTGGGTTCTTTTCAAGTTAAGTCAAGTTCGGGTTAACATGTAATCCAGTTAGGTTTGGGTCGACTTTAGGTTGTGTCAAGTCATTTTAAGTTTTGAGTTAAGTTTGAGTCGACAGAAATTGGATAGAACTTCGGGTTTTGGGTCAAGTTGCACACTTCATGTAGAAGGTTTTTTTATTTTACTTTTTTTTTTTTTTTTTTTTTTTTTTTTTTTTTTTGTGGAAAGATGTAGAAGTTTGTGCTAGTGTGCTACTAGTCAAATTCATGATGCTACATTATGTGATGGTGGCTTTTTTTTTATTTTTTTTGGAAGAAATGTGATGGTGAATTTGTCCATCAAGTGAATGTTTACAAAATCACAACTAGGGGTGAGCAAACTAGGTATTCGGTCAAAATTTTAGGAATGGGACCCGAATTTAGTTAGTATCAGGTCCTAAAATTCGGGATTGGAATTTGAACCACCTTTTTTTTTTTTTGAGAACTTGATTCACTTCAACCACTCTTAAACTTTAGAAATTGGGATTGGAACAACCGGGTACCAATTCTAATTCTGGGTACTCACTTACGTAAATAATAGTTAAAATTGAATACAAATTATAATACCTATTTTGATCCATTTTCAATTTTAACTTTCAAAACTTGTATTTATATATGCGTGAAGTTATTTTTATTAATGTTAGGTACTATTAACTAGATGCATTCAACTAGTTCCGGGTCCAAACAAATTGAAAATTGGAATTAAAACTGGTTTCTAAATTTATTACCCAGACTTGAAACCACCGAGTCCAATTCTGAATACCAACCCGCGGATTCCAAACCGATTCTAGTTCCAATTCCGGGTACCCAAATTTTTGCTCACCTCTAATTACAACCATTATTCCAAAAAAAAAAAAAAAAAAAAAATACAACCATTATAGTCTGGTACAAAGCTACACAAATAACCCAAATAATTGGTCCAGTGGGCTGCCAGCCCAATGACTCAACCGACGCGAATATCTCGCATCATTGAAACACACCATCAAATGGAATTTCTCCGTTACATATATATACGCTTTTCCACCGCCGGCGAAGTTTCTCCGGTCGCCGGAGTTTGTAGTCGGGATTTTTTTTTCCCGCAGAAACCCTAATTTATTTCTTCTCGTGTTTTTGGAAATCCCAATTTCAATTTTGAAATTGAAGAAAGATGTCGAATTTGGATGAGGAAGAGGAAAATCTTGCTCAATTTCTCGAATCTGAGGTTCTCTCGGAAGTTTCTGATCAGGTTTTGTTTTCTCCCCTCTTATGTTTTTTGATTTCAATTTGTAGAAATTTCTGAAATTGTTCTGATTTTCCTAAATTTATCCCCTGAATTTGTTCTGATGAACCCTAATTTTAATTTAATCATTATTTATTCGTTACATTTCAATTTATCATTATTTAATCTTCGAAGTTAATGATTATCGTATATTAAAGTTACATAATTTGGGTTTTTTTTGGCTACTCTCTTTATCTGGGAACTTGTCAATTGTCATTTGCTAAGTTAAGATTTGTATGAGAGCTTTTATTAAATCATTGTGATTGTGAATATTTTTGTTGCATGATATATTTTCGGTTTCATTGTGAAAATTTTTGGATGTGAATGTTGAATCTTCTAACAAATTTACTTGTAAAGTTTGGTAGAGAAGCCAAAGCATATATGTATATGTGGAAATTTATGCTATATATGAGATTGAATTGGATTGTGGGTGTGTTGATGTACAGGATGAAGACACAAATGACACGGAGAGACCAATGAAGAGGCCTCGTACAGAGGACATTATCAGAGAGACTGAAAATGATGCTTGTGATATCGATGGAGATAGTGGGTCGAAGGCTGAGAGTTCGAGTTGTAGCACTGGTGCCGGTATAATTGGCGGCTTGAGGATCGAAACTGGGATATTAAGCAAGATACCTCCTGAGTTATTTCAGCATGTTCTCAAGTTCCTGTCTTCTGAAGTATTTGAATCTAACTTTCTAATTGAAATAATGTTTCTTCTTAGTTATAAAGTAGGATATCTTGTACTTACCTTTTTTTATGCAACATGCAGGATCTTATTTCATGCTCACGAGTGTGCAAGTTTTTGAATCATGCAGCATCAGAAGAATCCTTGTGGCGTCGTTTGTGAGTATTTTTAATTTTGTTTGCTTCTTTCCTATTCATTGAAGTTCCGGCCTTTGCTTCTGGTTGATTTGTTTTCTGGTATCGTTTTGTGGGTATACATGGTGTATCATGTTATTGCTACTTAAATTTGACTGAATGATTGTAAATATCGAGCCTTTACATCAAAACCCTTGTTGCTTGTATTGTCATTAATTATGCACTTGCCTCTTTATATGAAGGACATTGTCATAAGCTTCATTCTGGTTTATTTGTTATCATGTTGCTAGGTGCATCTGTCTATGATCCTTTTGATGTTTTGTCTATCCTTTTTGTAACCTCTTTAAAGTTTTTTGTAACATTATTGAGTTGTTTTTAAAGTGCAG